TTGGCTTTCAAGTATGAAAGAAAACATGCAACCCTTGGCCTTCTGAATTTCACAGCCTACATGATCTTGATGGAGTTGGTCTAYCTGCAGAGCAGAATGATAGAATTTTATTGATTTAAAACAAGTTGTTATCTTCCATACCAAAGGTGTTATTCAGGGATGAGATAATGTCTAGTTTTATCAAAGGCTGAAGTTCTTATCACTGAAAATTATTTTTATTTTTTTGGTACCAGGGATTAAACCCAGGGGCACTCGATCTCTGAGCCACATCTCCAGTCCTTTTAAAAATATTTTTATTTAGAGAGAGAGTCTCACTGCATTACTCAGGGTCTCACTAAGTTGCTGAGGCTGGCTTTGAACTCAGGATCCTCCTGCCTCAGCCTCCCAAGCCACTGGGATTACAGGTGTGCGCTACCGTACCTAGCTGTACTGATTTTTAACAATTTTATTTTACTAGCAAATTATAGATGCTTGTTCGTGCTTATTTTGATATAATTTGATCATTGTGTTACCTAATTTTATTTTATTTTATTTTATTTTTTTTTTATTTTTTTTTAAGAGAGAGTGAGAGAGGAGAGAGAGAGAGAGAATTTTTATTTATTTTTTAGTTCTCGGCGGACACAACATCCTTGTTGGTATGTGGTGCTGAGGATCGAACCCGGGCCGCACGCATGCCAGGCGAGCGCGCTACCGCTTGAGCCACATCCCCAGCCCATGTTACCTAATTTTAGATACGCCAGATTTTCAAAAGCATTCTTACCATAATCTGAGAGGTCTTTGCATATCAGTGTGATCTGTTAGATTATAGATGTGGGCTCCGTCTGAGTAAAGTGTTTTCCTTTTATTCTACACTTCAGATAGTCTAAGTTTAAGAAATAAAAAGGGTATGGTTTTTCTTTAGTAATTTATTGTATATTTCCATAAAAGGAAGTTTATATTTTTTTAAAGTTTTTTTTTTAAGAGAGAGAGAGAGAATTTTAATATTTATTTTTTTAGTTATCGGCAGACACAACRTCTTTGTTTGTATGTGGTGCTGAGGATCGAACCTGGGCCGCACGCATGCCAGGCGAGCGCGCTACTGCTTGAGCCACATCCCCAGCCCAGGAAGTTTATATTTTAATAATAAGGTTTGTCATCTATAAAAAGGCCAAATTGAATGGTATAATATTCACAGAGCCTTCTATCTGCAAAGTTCTGACTCAGGTGTCACCCGAAGGCTAGACATTTTAAAATCATSTTTCTCCATTTGCTTACTAAGTTCTGACTAAGTTTACTTGGTACTTGTTTCTACCTTCTTGACTGCTTTTCTGGGATGTCTCTTCCCCCCCCCTTTCTCCACTTTTCTTTTTCTTTTTTTAACTGTGCGTTAGAGTTGAACATAATGGTGGTATTTGTTGGGTATTTGTACACCACACAGCGTGACAGTATGGTTTGGTCAGTACCACTCCCCAGCACTTCCCTCTTCCCTCCTTCTATGCCCTTTTCTCTGCTGATCTCCCTTTGATTTTTCATGAAATCCCCACTTTCCTCTTTCTTTTCCTTTTCCTTTCTTCCACATGAGAGAAAACATATGACCCTTTACCTTCTGAGTTTAGCTTATTTTGCTTAACATAATGATCTGACGTTCCATTTTCCTGCAAATGATGTAATTCCATAATTTCAGGTGTCTGCTCATGGACACCTAGGCTGGTTCCATAGTTTGGCTCTGGTGAATTGTGCTGCTATAAACATGGGTATGCATGTATCAATATAGTATGATGACTTTAATTCTTTAGGCTAAATATTGAGGAGTGGTGTTCCTGGGTTATATGGTAGTTAGGTCTTTTTCTACTCTGTAGAGGAACCTCCATACTGATTTCCATAGTGGTTGTACTAATTTACAATGCCACCAATAGTGTAAAGGTGTTCCTTTTTCTTTACATCCTCTCCATCATTTATTATTATTTGTATTCTTGTTGACTATTTTTTGACTTATTCTTGTTATGTGTCTATGGGTCAAGATACTAAGGCCTAGGAAGTGGTAAGTAGCTGTATAGTTAGTTCCCTTTGCTTGGGCTCCCAAGTTCCTACCGTAGACAAACAAGTATGAGTTTAAAGAGCCAGTCATTCTGAGAGGTGGGATGTCTTAGTCTGCTTCTAGATGAAGTCTGACCCTGGGCCCATTTCTTTTACCATTCAACCTCAGATTCTTTCTCCTGAAACTGAAGCAGTTTCATTGGTTGATTCTCTTTTAAAAGGCTGTGATTGATAAATATCTAGCTAACAGTTTATTTCAGTAATCAAGTCATTCAGGCACAAATTGGGAATGGCCAGCCTCTATGAAACAAGCCTTTTGGGCCATCTTTACCTTTTTGTTTGAGTACAAATATACGTATACTATGCAGGGGGTGAATACACTCTGGAGTGCAAGGCCCAGCAGCCATCTACAGGCCTGAAACTGTACCACACAGAAGGCATACTTTCCTGTTGCTGATGACCCATGATGGTGATAACTTTAGTGGATCAGAATTGGTGTTTATAAATCAGGGGCTTCTCAAATGATCTTTTTTCCACAGTTACTGTGTAGAATCAGTGCAAYAGCCAAGGCAAAGAGGTGGCTTAAGTGAAATAAGACCCAGTGAGTTAGAGAAGCTTTAGTTCTCTAAGCCAGGGGAAGAAATGTCGTTAGTTTCCTTCAATGATAATGGCTTTCAGAAGAGCGTCCATTCTCATAAGCATTTAGTTCCTGAGCTAAGAGAGTGAAGCACATGATCTGTCCAGAGTATGCTGAATTTATAGACTCAGAAAAGAATTTTTCAAATAGATGGGTAGAAGACAAAGAGTTGGGAAAAGTGAACAGTAGTAGAATATGGTACCTCTGATTAAAAATCTAGGATGAGAGAGCATGGAGCAACTCTCCCTCAGGTGACTGCCTTCAGATTGTTCTTTAAGGCCTTTACTGTGTTGGTTCATGAGATTAACTCTGAATCTTGAACATAAGTCCTCTGACCCACCATTTCTGGCACTGCCCAGATCTCTAAGTGGGATGGTGCACATACAACGCTAGATCAGTAGGTGCACTAGTTTGTGTGAACATTTACATTTTCTTTAATGGTAAGCATTGTGTGGAAGGGGGGGGGGCGGGTGACCATGCCTGTGAGTCATGCTAGTGCTGCTAGTGGCTTTAGCTTCCCCTTCTCCAAGTTGAAGAGTTGCTAATTCCAGAAGTGAACAGAAGATGTCACTGCATCTCCATTTACTAGGCTTCCTGGTAGTTGGTACAACCAGTTCTCAATATAGCTACCAGATCACCATACTTAACTATTATGGCTGTATAACATTCTGAGTTCCCCTGCTTTAACCCAAATTAAAAATTGAGTAAACCAAAGAGGGAATTCCTCAAGGTTTTTTTTTTTTTATTTTTTTTTTTAATATTTATTTTTTAGTTCTCGGCGGACACAACATCTTTGTTGGTATGTGGTGCTGAGGATCGAACMCGGGCCGCACGCATGCCAGGCGAGCGCGCTACCGCTTGAGCCACATCCCCAGCCCTCCTCAAGTTTTCTTAATTGTCTTTTTTTAGTTTGTTTGATCTAGACTTATATATTACTGTATTTCTAGGTAGCTGACAAAATGTATTTGCCTTTTCTTGTCACCCTTTCAGCACCTATTTGGGAGCCTAGATAGTTTTTCACAGTTGTTTTCATCAGGGTTCAACTATTGAAAAGTTTACTGGCCTTTCAGGAGCTTACTTTGAGCATGGTGGGGGGGTGGTGTACCAGGGATTGGACGCCCCCATCAACCTCTGAGCCATGTCCCCAGCTCTACTTTGTATTTTATTTAGAGACAGGGCCTCACTGAGTTGCTCAGCGCCTCACTGTTGCTGAAATTGGTTTCCAGCTTGTGATTCTCCTGCCTCAGCCTCCCAGGATACTGGAATTACAGGCGTGTGCCACCATGCCCAGCTTGGTAGCTTACCTTTTTTTTTTTTCCTAAATATTTTTGTTATTGACAGGCCTTTATTTATTTATATGTGGTCCTTAGAATCAAACCCAGTGCCTCACACATGCTAGGCAAGCACTCTACCACCCAGCCCCAGCCCCAGTCCTCGGTAGCTTACTTTTTAAAAAGCATTCATCGGGATTGTAGAGGACAGTGTCCTGAAGTGAGGTGCTGAATACCAAAGAAAAACAGCTACTTTATTTTTCTGTCTGAATCCTTAGCTTTGGCAGTTGAGAAAATCAGAAACTGAATTATGACCTAAGGATCTATGGTGCCTATTTTTAGAAAACCTGTTCAGTATACATAGGTAGTAGGGTTTCCTGTGTTACACAGAAACAAAGTTGGTGGTCAGTTGGATTACTGTAGAAAGTCTGAGGCCTTCCAAAGTTATGGTGTGTTTTGATCAGATGGATTGAGAAAATAGAGTCATATATGTCCCAGTTTGGCTAGGTTAGTGCTGGTTTACACCTCTTACTCGTGTGATTATTGATAGTTCCCTTTTTTACTCTCAGTTGTCCTAGTTTGGACAATATATGGTCACTTTAAATTAGCCTAAAAAAAAGAGGTTAATATGTTGCAGTTTTAGTCATATTTTTTGACTTATGAACTATGGTTTCCCTGAATTTCTAAGTTGAACATATGCAGGATAACGTAAAACTTACAAAAAGCTGTTGATTCTTGCAAAGATAGTTTTTTAGTTTCTGTTTTCATTGTTCTCTGGAGTAATGAGTTCCAAAAATAGCTGTGCAATCAGAATCAACTTGTAAGCTTTTACAAATAAGAGTTTCATGGTTCTCACCACACCTCCATACCAGAGTTTGTACTTACCGTTACATTAAAAATATAGAAGTACATGCAGTTCAAATGTTCTTGACAACTTTGTCAGCAGGCTTTTAAAAGCTATCGTATAGATAATGATTTCTGTTGTTTGTATGGTGTTTGGGGGGGGAGTGTTGCTGATGGCTGCCTGGGCCTCAGAGGTGTGCCTGGCATTGATATGAGTTGCCTTTTCATTTCAGATGTCATCTGGGTGATTCTCAGTGTGGAGGTGGGTGGACTGTTAGGAGTAACGCAGCAGCTGTCATCTTTTGAAACGGAGTTCAACACACAGCCTCATCGCAAGGTAGAAGGAAACTTCAACCCGTTTGCCTCTCCCCAAAAGAACCGACAATCAGATGAAAACAACTTAAAAGACCCTGGGGGTTCCGGGTTCGACTCGATCAGCAAAAACACATGGGCTCCTGCTCCTGACCAAACCGAGCAAGATCAGAATAGACTCTCACAGAACTCTGTAAATCTGTCCCCCAGCAGTCACGCAAACAACTTATCAGTAGTGACTTACAGTAAGGTAGGTGCCCTCGGAGAAGAGGAGAAGGGATAGGTGGTGGGCCTTGGGATTCGTGATACCCCCTTCTTGGCAAACCTAGAATCCTGACTGTCACTCAGTGGAGGTGGCTCTGTGAGACTGCTCACCTCTTCTGCCAACACCAGCAACACAAATGCCTACCCCTTCTCCCCTCCCCCACCCCACATCTTGTGGATATTGCTGCATCCACATTTTATAATTTACTGCCATCTCTCTGTTCTGGTTTGAATGTTGAAAGACCGACTTTTTTTTTTTTTTTAAACCATTAGCATTTACGAAACAAAAGCAAATGTCAAAATATCACTAGCCATGCTTCCAGTGTGGATGTAAACAAAGCTGAGAGCACAACAACACACATTTGGGATTTGTTTCTAATTGATTGTTTGGGGTGCTCCCCCCATGAGTAGAAAGAGAAACTCAGTTATCTTGTCCTTATTATTGTTGTTGGACTTTCACTTTATTTACCGTGTTTGCATGTCTTGTTGACGTCTTTTCAATCTGTTATGGCCCATTGATCTCTTTACCCACAACCCAGCAGGCTCAAGTGATATTTTGACTTTTCAAATGTGGGAGATAAGTGAGAGAAATGTTAGCCAAGAATTTAAATACTCTGTTGTGAGATACCCTTCTAGCTGTATGAGTTCTTGATCTGTTTTCCTCATGCCCTGCTAAGGTGACGGTGGCTCCTGGTTGTTGGTTGGGGCTGGTTGATGAAGCCCTGGTGCTGATAGTTCATGGTGGCAGGTGTTGTGTGGTAGAGTATTGGGAGAATTCCCCTGCATTCTTCTCTGATGGAAAATGCTGTCCACTTAAGCCCTGTGTCCCACCTGTACAGCTACACAGACTGTGAAGTCGAGTTTTGCTTTGTGGTGGTATTCATCCTCAATTTTTAAAATAAAATTGTTTATTTGAGGGGCAAGTTGCTCTGTAAAATGGTATTTTTCTGACTAGTGGTTTATATATGGTTTAGATCAAGAGACAACTTAAGAAACCTGGTGATGTGAGTGGTCTTTCTTCACATGGTGTCATAAGAGGAAATTTATTGAGCAGTGGTAACAGAATGGATTGATATGTTGATTGATGGTCTTTATAGAGGATTTTGTGCAGTCATGTTAGTTGTACAGGACATGACAGGAGTAAGTTGGCCAGACAATATTGCTGTATTGAGGAAGGACTTAACACTCTTAAATAAAGATTTTCTTTTAACTTATATAATTCTCCAGAGTCCTTAAATTTTTCTTTCTTAAATTTAATCCTTTAGAGTCTGTGACTGTTCTAAGGGTAGTGAGCAGCCTTGTTAGAATGGAAACTTGAGGCAGCTGAGTTTGATGGGAAGATGAAAGTTGAAAGAAGCAAAATCAGTCACTCCACTGCTCTCTGCACAGGAAGCCCTTAGGCAGCTGTGAGCTGTCTTGCTGAGCCAGGCTACAGTCTCAGGAGAGGGCTGACATTCCTGGCCAGGGCACTGCACTCATCTCCTGCATTGTGACGTGGTTGTTGTCCTCTTCTTTGGGGACTGATGCTTTTCATCAATTCYATGATATCATCCAGAAGGTATGGTGGTCTCATCCTCGTCTTTCCTGCCATCTTTAATTAAGGTCTCATCAGCTAGCTGCTTCCTTTGGAAAAGCTGGACCATGACGAGAGGCTATTGAGGTATTTCTTGAAATTGATGAGCTCTTGGGATGTTTTTATGGACCCTGGGATCATTTAGAAGTCGCTAGAATGCATTGAAAATGTCAGTATTTGGGGTCTCCCTTTTCTCTTAATCTGTGCAGAATCTTATTTCAAAAGTATTTATATGAACCAAAGTTTCATGAAAGTATTTGACTCAAATTGAGTCATCTCCATATCTTAGGGCTCCTTAAGAATTTCATTAGGGTATAAACAGTCATCCCTAAGTATTAACAAATCTATGCACATCTAGAGCGGAATGTATTTGGCTGTGGTAGGAGACACAGGAGGAATAAAATATGTGATCCCGCCCACTAGGAGCTCTCAGTACAGCAGGGAGATGAAACAGGCACAGGGCTGTCGTAGAACAGTTCAGCCGAGATGAAGTATGAATTTAGTTAGTAGAGAACATATAATTTGTTTGCAAAGGGAAATGATGGGGGGTGTGCAGTAAGAGAAGCAGATGAAATGGAGGTGGAGTTAAAGGAAAGGCTTTTCAAAGGTTGGGTGAGATTTGGAAAGATGGCCAGACAGCATGGAGAGTGGTATGGAGAACATTTTAAAGTGCCGAGGGCAGAATAAGTAAGGAATCTGTGGTCCAGAGTATAGGTGATGGTCAGATGCAGTAACGCATGCCTGGAATTCCAGATACTGAGGCAGGAGGACTGCAAGTTCGAGGCCAGCTTGGGCAAAGGTCTGGGGATGTAGCTCCATTATAGAGCGTTTGCCTGGTGGAATCCCCAGTGTGTGTGTGAGCAGGGGTGGAGTTATCCCTTTGAGGAGTAGTGAAAAATAATTACAAAGGGCTTTGAAAAATTTTAATACTATATTTAAATGKATACAAATTTATGCTAAAGGGGAGATTTAAAAATGATAGAATCCTAAATATTTATATTTGGCTTTCAAATACACTGCTAAGTTTAAAAGCCARCATGCTTGAGCTCTAAAGTGTATACTTGACAAAGTGATGCCGTCAGGTATATACTGGAGTTAGTTTTTAACAGTTAAGTACTAGACATGCTTCCAAGTGCTTTGCAGAGATCATCTCATTTTTAGATGAGGAAACAAAAGCTCTGAGCGGTATAGCTGGGATTCTAATCCAGGCACCACATTACTAAAAGGTATTTCCTGGTAGGTGCACTTGGGCTTGCCATAGGTCCTCTCATTCAGCTGGAAGCTGTGTTGAGGGCCAGCGTGAACTGAGTTGATTAGTATCAAGGCAGGAAAGAAGCAGAATTGAAATAAGAAAAGTGATTCTAAAGTAAATTGAGCTTTGTCTGTGGCTTCTTGTTTTCACAGAGCTCCCGATTGCTGGGTGTTTAAAATAGTGATGGCTTTTCCTCAGTAAAAATAAAACAATTTTTAACTCTCGGCTGGTGTTATAATAAATTACACCCTTTTATTTATGAATGAATAGAAAAGAAGAGAGAGACCCTGGGCTCTGGTGGTGAAAAGTGTTTTCAGATTCCCAAAGATGCCATCTTCATTGGATGAGGAGGAGGGGTACCTGGTGCACTGGCATCAGCGATCACTGAGTTGGCAATAGATTTTTTATTTTCTCTAAAGAAATTACCTGCGTGACATCAAGGCTGGGAAAGAACGTGACACTTTTGAAGCCCATGACCACAGCTTTAGTTTTCTGCTCCCTCCATAGTTACAGCTTAACTTGCTAAGGTTGGTAGGATGACATGAAAAGATTGCTTGAGGTAGCTGCTCTGTGAGGACTGGGTGTGTCTGTCTGTCTGCAGAGGGGCAGATCTGTCAGTGTCAGGAACTGAACTCCTAGTCGTAAGCTCCCCCAGACTCAGTGCTTCATCCCTGCAGGGGATGCTCTAGGTGGGAACCGCTGCCTCAGCTGCATCTGGCAACCCAGAGACCCTAGCCCCTCCCTGTGAGAGCCGTCAGGGAGTCAGCAAAATAAGAACATGCCGACCTGCTCCAAAGATTCATAAATTTGGCTCCTTGGTTTTGTTAGAATTTTGCAATTCTCATTCTCAGCTGAATTGTGGCTGACTTGTCCCGGGTTAGATTAAGTATTGATGGAGGTTAAGAACTATTTTAATTCATACTTTTAATGTGATCGCTCCAGAGCCTTTGAGGACCAACAGTCACAACTGCATAGGTGCTCATTGCCTGTCACACAGTGCATTCTAGCACTCTGACTCATCTTTGGGGCCAGGGTCGCTTCTGCTTGGATAGTGTGAGAGTAATGTAAAACAATTTACAGAGGTGTGGAAGAAGGGGGAAAGGCCTATTAAAATTAGATATGTTGGGGCTGGGGATGTGGCTCAAGCGGTAGCGCGCTCACCTGGCATGCGTGCGGCCCGTGTTCGATCCTCAGCACCACATACAAACAAAGATGTTGTGTCCACCGATAACTAAAAAATAAATATTAAAAAAGTTCTCTCTCTCTCTCTCTTAAAAAAAAATTAGATATGTTGGGGCTCGGGTTGTGGCTCAGTGGTAGAGTACTTGACTAGCATGTGCGAGGCCCTGGGTTTAATCCTCAGCACCACATAAAAATAAATAAATAAAATAAAGATATTCTGTCCATCTACAGCTAAAAATATATATATATTAAAAAGATAGATATGCCTTTTAATTACCAGCCAGTAATTTTTAAAATCTCTTAAGTGTTTATTTTGGTGGCACTGCAGAATGAACGCAAGGGGCTCTTTACCACTGAGCTATATCCCCAGCCCTTTTTATTTACTTATTTATTTTGTAATTTTGAGACAGGATCTCCCTCAGTTGTCAGGGGTTCCACTTTGAACTTGCTATCCTCCTGCCTGAGTAGCTGGAGTTACAGGTATGTGCCACTGCACCCAGCTCTGAATGTTTTCTAATGCCTTGCAGAGCCATAGGGCACCAAATGGTCTGATTCAGGACAGCTGGAAATAAAGGTGTGGCTGGTAAAACCCAAGTGGCTGTTCTTCAGAACAGCCAAATGCTTTGCTTCCTTTCTCTAAAGGAGTAAGATTTTACACTGGGGCGGGGGATGGGGGGCAGAAAAGTAAATTTATTTATTTTGTTACTTGGACTATGGCTATTATTTTGCATTTGGTCTTACTTTAAAAAATGTTTCGGGCTGATATATGTCGTATGTTTCTACTTTAAACTGGATTATAGTCTGAGCCACTGTTATTACTTCTGCCAAGCGCTGCTTCTGGAAAAACATGCTATTATCTTTTCGGGTAGTTGATCCCAGGGCCTTCAGCTCCTCAGCAGTGCTGCCAAGTGCCATCTGCCCTGCCTGCCCACATCCCCCATCCCTCCCCTCGGAGCTAGAGCAGGAGTCAGTCTGCTTT